AACAGTAAGACAAATCTAGGCCAATGTTTTTTGTCAGAAGTAAAAGTGTAACTAATAGCATCTGAATCGGCGAAAATATCTGTTGAAGGTTTTCCTTGGAAATATTAAAATTTCTGTCTCATTTATCTTTCGCAACCTTTTCTTATGGTTTGATTTCTCGTAATCTTATAAACGATTACAAGAAAGGAATGACTAAAACCACGGACGGATCTACGGGGGGGGGGCTTTCGGGCTGAAGCCCCTCCCCCCCAAAATGGAGAAATATAACCATGTTTTATCGAACAAAATATTAAAAAAGTAACTCTTAAAGTATTATTGTTCGTGTGATTAATATTAAAAGGGCTTTAGGAATCACTTAAACACCATTTCATACAGGTAGTTAGTTTCTTTCTTTTTTTCCAAAGTAATTATCGTAATTTTTATGAAAAAAAAAGCTTTCGGGCTGAAGCCCCCCCCCCAAAATTAAATCCTGGATCCGCTAGTGACTAAAACCCAATATGTTATGTCTTGAAAAATAAATGATAAATGAAGTTCAGCCTTATCTTTAAAGTAAAAACTTATAAACTATATAAAAAAAAATTAATCACTCATCACAATATGTGTATGTTGATTATTTAATAATTTTGTTATTACTTTATCCTTTGCAACATAGAAAGTATATTTTGGGAATATGATTAAAAACAAATGCAAATAACACACTCATATATGTCTTCTCAACAAACATAATTTGTGAAACCAGGGCCGAAATTTGGGAAGGGCATTGAAGACACGTGAAGAATTTTATTTTCAATATTTATGGTCGACAAATTTTGAACGATGTTGTATTTTTAGTTTAAATAAAAGATATTTGTATCTGCTTTTTTTGTCTTTTGACCTTGATTCAGCCAATAAAATGATTTTATCTCATGTAGTGTAGATATCTATTATGTAATATATTATCTAAAATTAAAACACTGTTACAAAGCTGTTGACTTTTATCGGAAAAAAGAGGAACAAAATTAAGTTTGACCCTCCTGGAAAAAATCCATTTCGGCCCTTAGTAAAACTGCATATATTTAATAATGAATATGTTAAAGTAATTGTTTAATAAATAACTGTACAGGTCTTAAGGTCGACCTAAAAAATTTAAATATGTCGCGGAATGTATTTATTTTTTTATGAAACATACCAAAAAATTACTTTTTAATGATCCTATCAGTCAGATAAATGCTTCTTTGTTTTCCTTTTCAATAGATTTTTATTTTTCCATAGACTATCGTAAATAGGGATACTTTAGGTTATCCCTATCTAAAAAACTCAAACCAACTAAGACTATTTTAATTAAGAATGAGAAGGTTAACTATCATTAACAAAAGGTATTTGATAGGAAACCGAATCTTTTGATATTGTATTTTCGTAGATCCAGAGGGATTTGAAACTAATACATCATTTTTGGCATTAAAATACTTATACATTTTTTTTCCAATTCTTTATTGACAAATATTACAATCTGTCAAATGTAAGAAAATATTAATAGTGATTAAAGAGTAGCTCATTCACACTCTATGCACAATAAATAAAAAAATATATAAACAGCAAACTTATATAAACTAAAAGATATTAAACGAAACAAAACTAATGAAACTAATCAAAATAAATACTTAAATATGCACATACGTAAACAATATTTACGAAAATTCATTCACTCAAGATCTCCAAGCCAAGTCTTTCCCCCACTCGTGGAAGGAAAGGCAGGACACTAGGAGATCCCAGCGAGTCTCACTCAGCCCCATTACTGGTATTAAGGACCAGTGGGGGCTGAGCAGAAGCGCTTTAACCATAAAAATTTATGAAAAATAAATAATGTTTTTTTTTTTTTAAATGTATGTAACCGGTTTTGAAACAAATCGCCTGAAGTATCAAGTGTCAACTACGGTATCTAAGAAGTTAGAATTATGGAGTCCAGTGGGTATCTCGTATATTGCGCCTTAAAACCTAAAATAATGGAAATTTACCCTTTTCGCATGATTTAAGCCTCTCCTTCGCTTTGGTGAAAAGCAAACATCCAACACTAACACTGCTGTAACTGTACAAGGTAAAAAAATTACTGATGAGGTCAATTTCATTGATGAACTAAAAAATCATACTATCGATAGTACACTTAATTTTAACTTGACTTTATTGATAGTATAAATATTTACATTTAATCTGTAGCAGCCGCATGCTTCTGTTAAAAGAATGTTTATTGATACATTGTCCTATTTTCGTAATGTTTCTTTTTACAACAAGGACTTGAGCAATTCCTTCATAAACTTCTTCAGGGTGCTTAGGATGTGAAAAAAATCATAAGTCCTGACGTAAGGTGGTGAGCCGAGGCGGGATTTTGGGATTTACTTCCGTATGTAACTCCTGCAATGGTGCATTTGCGGGAAGGACTTTCTGGCTCAAGCGAGCTCCCCAAATAGAAAAGATTTTTTTTTAACAGGTCTTCAAATACAATTTATGCATTATCGCACATTTTTTCGGATAATTAATGATATTAAAAAAAATTGTTCCTTGTTAGATAGGAAGGATGCGTGATCCTTTAAACAGGTATACAACCTGTTTATAGTCGGAGAAAAGGAAGATTTCAATACGAAAGATTCCAGGAATTCAATACGAAACAAAAAATTATTTTTGTATTTAAAGTTTAATAATGGTTTTGCCATAAAATCTGTACCACTACAAGCCATGAAGGGTCTTGGGTGCAGTACTATGTGAGGAAGTACTGTTACAAGGCCAAAGGTTGTGTAGGGAGATGATGGGGCCGATATCACGCTCAACCGACAGGTATTCCCCTTAATTATTTTTTTAAATTAAGGGTACTCACTTAATTTAGGTTGGGTATGCACCAGGATGATATCTCGACCCCAGGGTCGATCCACGCCTAATGAAAAATTACTAATCACTAGCCGGATTCGAACCCAGGACCTTGATCTCTGGAAGTCAGTGCTCATCCACTGAGCTACCCCGCTCCCTTTTACCATAAAACCAGTGTTTAAATTTTATCTATGAAATTTTTGCTCCATCCGATTTCTTAGCTCTTATCGATAAGCCAACTACGACCTTGCTTCTCATTGTGCCTTGACATGCGCCAAGACAACCGTGGTTAGGTTGGGGGTGTCAATCTTTTCAATGCTATACTATGAAATATCGTTTCTGGTTGTTCATTATGAAGTCCTCTTTGTTTATTTTCTAACTTGGAATAATGCTTAAAACTATGGATACTGCTTTGGCACTTTCCAGAGATATTATCATACCGGAAGACTTTATCCTACCCATGAAGAAGAGAATTAAAATAAGTTCGACAGACCCAGGTTGAAAACTGCTAAAATGGCTTTTGATTGTTAGAGTCGTTTGGCATGCTTTGGTTGTTCCTTACTTTCAGGTATACGATTATAATTTCTTTTATTTCTATTTACCCCTAAATCTTGTAGTTTTTATATTTCACTTTAGTTTTATTTGCCATCAATACGCTTCTGTTTAGAGATTTTTATTTATTTTAAAAATGAGAATATATTTTGGACTTATTAGTACCTCTTTCACTGATTTTTTTTTTTTTTTTAACTAGGTTATATAATGTTTTATGTCTCAATAGTAAAACTTATTGGGCATGTTTCCAAGCTTAGCACTAAGATCACTGATGATCATCAGAAATTCATTAAACCATTCCTAAATTCATCGATGTAACAATGGAAAAGTTCCTAAACTCGAGACTCAGATCATTAATGAGAATCGGACATTCATCAATCTCTGAGTATAAAAATTGGATCATTCTCAGTAAATGCATGAGGAGTAATACTTACATGTTGATTAAGAAGTAAATTTTCAGCATTTATAACTATAACACTGCACTATAGAACTGCTTTTGAGCTTTCAGTTTTTCTTTGCTCGATATTTGACCCATTAATTACATGGAAATCAAAGTACAAAATGATAGCATTTTAGAATGTTAAGTTGGATGATACATTTAGGTGATTCTATTTTAGATGCCTTTGTTGCATTTTTCTTATTTGCATTATAATTGTGGTCAATGTTTTCTGCTGTATTAGTTTTAATAGTTTAATTTTCAAATAAATCACCTAAAAAGTTTTTTAATTTTTATTTATCAATCACTGTCCATAGCTTATGCCTGGCTTTCATTTTTAAACTTTTATTTGAAAATAACATTCCTTTTGATTCAAGAATGCTTGGGTATCAAGAATTTTTATATTTTCTAATTGCACTATTTATCCATCACTGAAAGGCCATCCCAGTAAAAGTTAAACCTCAGTTACCCAATTAATCCAGAACCACCCACACCCCCTATCACCAAACACAGCCTACACACACGCACCAACATCATACCTTCCACCCACAAACAACACCAAAACCCAACCCAAACAAGCCACCCTCCCAAAACACCAATCCCTAACCGCCACCCCCAGAACCCCCCCTTAAAAAAACAAAAAACACAACACCCTTGACACAACTAACCACAAATCTCCCACAGACTACATAAAAAACCAAAAAACAACACAATAAGAAAAACCCAACACTCACTAAAAAAAACCACGGACAATACACACCAACCACTTCGGACAACACGACGCGCACAACATTCTCAGGACACACAAATCGAAGATCCGCGCCAAACAACCCTTACACAACGCGCTATCGCACACTCAAGCTACCCCCCAATGGAAGCCAGTCCCATAGCAAAGTCAAGCATAGTGCTTCTGAAATGGATCTACCGTTCATTCCTCCTTCCAATAATGATGGTTGTCTGTATTTTGAAATGCAAGAAGTGCGTAAAAGTGATCAGAATGAAGAAGGTGCCCGATAGTACATTTATCTTTGTACCACTTACTCTAGGCTTATGTTTCTGTTTTACTAAAATTTATTTAGTTATTTTTATTTAATGTGTGTAGAAAATACCATTCAATTAAAAAAAAAAAAAAGGTTTATCCATTAATATAAGTTGTGAATCCAAAATGTTTCAGTTGTTCCACAGAAGAAATCAAAGACTTATTTGTATCGGTACTGCCAGATATTCTTAGCGGAATTCATAGCTACAGCATTCTTGATGGTGATGGTGTGTCTTGGATGCTTGAAACTTAATTCTGACACTATACCACCACTTCAGTCATCACTTGCATCTGGCTTTGCTGTTGCCACTCTAGTTCAGGTAAAAATTTTACTCTCAATCAATTTACAGTCGAACCTCTAAATATCAATGTACGAGTCAATCAAAGTCGAAGTTATTTGATGAACCTTTAATTTATTTATTTATTATAAAAAAAATATTCAGTCAAATTAATAATCAAATAAAATGTCTGTATAACAAATGAAAAGTTATATTTAAAGAAACATAACATGTTATTCTCACTACAACGGTTCTTTAAATTAGATTTATAAGGATAGGTAATAATTAATTAAGAAAAAATTATGTTCCCCTGTCTCAAAAAGCAATCCAAATTCAGGAAAGACTTTTTTATAGCTCTGGGGATACCCATGGGAGTGTGAATCCCCAAATCTTTCTTTGATTAAACTGAATATTTCATTCTTCCGTTTAATTCAGTCTTCCTTTTGACAATAGCTCCTTAAAGAAAATCTTGAATTGTGAAAGGAAAATTTGATGTAATAAAATATTTAATAAAAAATAAAGATATAAAACTCAATCAATTCAGTTATTAAACTTTGAAAGTTTTGAAGGAATTGTTTCTGATCGATTTAAATAATTAAAGTTTCATAAAATTAATGAAATGGTATTGGAATGCATAGCCTAAAAATTGCCTTTGAAAGTTTCTATTCCTAAAAAATACCTGTAATTGTTTTTATCACATATATAAACAATTTAAATATTTCTTTTAATCAAATTCCCATGTATCCAAGAAATCTTGTTTTACAGATAGGAGTTCAGCGATAGTTATAAAAATAGTTAATTCTATTTTAAGATTAAATTGATTATTTATATTTTTAGGAAATTATACATTGTAATATAAATCAGTTGATTATATCAATGGTTAAAATTATCTTCAGTTACTATTGTGAATTTTAATATTTTCATGATTGTATTTCTGATTATATTGAAATATTTTAATTATCACAAATTATAAATCTATCCGTATGTTTTCTAATCTACGTATTGCCTGCAATATTGATTCATTTTAATTTTATATCTTTTATGTTGGCTAAGTATATATTTTTCTTTTCAGTTGTTTTCAATTTTTAATAATACTGATGAACTCTGAAAAAATCTTGCACTACTTAACTTTCATTCTCCTCTCCACTTAAATAATTAAATTTCTACTCAAATATAATTAGTTTAACGGCATTTAGCAAAAGAGAACCAAACCGCAGTAAATTTTTTGACTAAATTTCAATTTTAAGTTAAATAAATGTAATTTCAAATAAGTATATTTTATTTTTTATTTGTTTATCCCTTATTTAATTATATTTGATGTTTTATTATATCCTGGATATTGCTAATAGATCACAAATATAACAAAACACAAGGAAATAAACACAATCACAAATAAGACATTCTTTTTTCTACAAGCTCAAGAGTATAAATTACTTTAAATGTATTGAAAATTACATGAAATCTAAGTAACAGCTGTAATTGTCATGCCAGTAACATTTGGAATTGACCAAACAATACAGTATCAATTAATTTTTTGAATAAAACCTGAAATTTTATAACCCCATAATAATATTGTAATAACCTAACTCTCACTACAAATGATCAGTGCCTTCAACATTTCGTAGCCATTATATTGTTAGCAATTATTTATCAATTTTGATTATTTAATGGAATTCAATGAAATTGATAATTAGTAATTTCTATACTGTTCTCTGAATTTCCTCCAAGTTTGGGTCAAATCGAATGCGCCGTTTTCAAACTATAGGCATATCAAATAACACATTTCCTGGTCAGAAAAAGGGAAGTATTTTTTTGGAGAGTAGTAGATAGAATTTGATAAGATTGGTGCCTATTTCATTTTACGTTTGCCAATCCCTAAATTCTCTCAAAATTTGAGCCAAATTGACTTGCGGTTTGAACTTGCGGTTTTAGAGATATAGACGTATCAAGAAAAATGTGTTTGTGTGTATATAAGAGATAGGAACGGATCGAATTCAATAAAATTGATCCTACATTATTTTTTCACAATCTTGAGCCAAATCAAATGAGCCATTTCTGAAATATTGGCATATCTACAAAAATGTGTTTTCGTGTACATAAGCAGAAGTGGTTAGAATTTAATGAAATTAATATGAGACCATCTTGGCACCAATCCGCATAATCGCTGAAAATTTTATGAAAATCGGATGAATGATACTAGGTGATATGCCTGTCCCATCAATTTGATTACAGACCAATAGACAGACACCAAACCAAATTTGATCCTTGCTGTCTGAAACATAAAACGCAAGTGAAAATTTTCGATTCTGAGCACAAAACTTTTTTTAACCTCTCACACGAATACAATGCTTCCCTACCTTCGGTAGTGAGGAAGCCATATATTACTATAAAAAAATTATTATGTATAATTTTACTATATAAATGTTACAATATAAATATATAGTATATACATATATAATGAATACAATATAAATATAATATATACAATATAAATATTATAGTATTATAAACATTACCATATAGATAATACTACTTAAATAAAAATTATAAAAAAATTGCTTTATTGCTGTTTTTTTTTATTAAAGAAAGTGGAGCAATATTAGATATCTGTTAGTTTTTAATCTTTTATTATTTTTTCATTTGTTAATTAATTTTTTTTTTTTTTAAGATGTTCGGTCATATATCGGATTGCCATATGAATCCAGCTGTTACAGCTTTGTTCTTTTCCTTGGGTAAAATAGATATTATTACCTCTATGATTTATGTTTTTGCTGAATTGACTGGTTCAACAGCTGGTTATGGAATTTTATGGGTAATGTATACTTTCATAATTCAGATAACTTTTGATACTTTTATGTTAAAAATACCTAGTCTTATGTCTTATGAGAAAAATAAATCAACTGAGCACCTTGTTTTAATTATATTTAAAAATTAAATTATTTGATTCTTTATTCATATCTTTATTTGCATCCATCACAGATGTGAATGACTGATTATCAGGAATTGTATTGATAAATTCAAAATAAAAATTGTAATATCTTATTTACAGGCCTTAACTCCTACAGATATCAAGGATCTTAATCCTGGGCATTGTGAGACTGTTGTACATTCCTCTCTAAACAGTATGACTGCTGCTGCGATTGAACTTATAATTTCTTCGATGTTGATGTTTATGATTTGTGCTTGTCTCGATCAACGCAATACCCACAAGCAGGATTCTGTACCAATCAAATTTGGACTCACGATTGCAACAGTAGGGCTATGTGCTGTAAGTGTATTTGTTTTTCAAGCCTATTTCTATATCTTGCCTATTATCACGTTCCTTTAAGTAACTATTGTGTGAGCTGAAGTATGTTTCTGAATAGATATTTCATAATTCATAATAGATATTTTGATGAATAATAATAAACAAATTATTAGTATATGATATTTGTAATTTATTTTTCAGGGTAATTTAACTGGAGCGAGTATGAATCCAGCTAGATCTTTTGGACCTGCTTTATGGCACACTCAGTGGGCTAATCATTGGGTAAGTTAAAACTTGAATAGAGCATGAAAATTTAATTTCATCAAGCTTCCCAAGTAATTTACTACTGTTTTCTCCCCATTTTGGAAACTTAATTACAATAATTTTATTTTCTATTTTCAATAGAATTTATAAGATAAAAGTATTTCAGTTTCCATGTGGACAAATCTTTCTCTCCATGTAAACAAACCAAGCCAAAATGCTCTCACTTTTTTCAACATCCTTCTCATAGTGCCCTCTAAGTAATGTAAATTTACTTCTTTATACAAAGAATATATTGCCTTAAAATAACTAAAATTGATATATTCTAAAAAAAATTGTTATCTTCTTATTTTTAATCGAAGATTGTTAAAACAAAACATTGTTTTAATGTTTTTATATTCCCTTATTATATTTAATGTGTCTAATATTTCAAAGCAGGTTTTAACATTTATTTATAGGATCTGAAAAATCTTAACTTTTTCCATTTTTTTTATTTTATTATATATCTCCACAAAAAATAAATAAAATACATGGATACGATTATTGTTTATTAAAAAAAGATTATAATTTTATAAAAGTACTCGGGGTGTCTGCAGACAAGGAAACTCTATTTTTATTGATGGGATAAAGGTCAAAATTTTCAAAGAGGAGAAATAAATATGTTTTACTTAAGCTAAAAAAATTGGTTGAAAATTTGCCACCATCCAAATTATTCTATCTGGGATAAGTGTCTCTTTTGCTTCTAGTTCTGGCCCTGGTTTAACTCTGATTTTTATAGTTTTTTAAACAATGGTTATTTTTCCTCTACAATTGAACTGTTATCGTAAAATTCTCTTTGAATTATATGATATGGAATTGTCTAACTGAAAGCCAGTTTTTATTTTGTCACTGTCTCGCAATATTGAAATAATTATAATTGTAATTGCGTTAATTTATTAGATAGAGATTTAATTTTTTATCTCGGCGTAGTGCCCCTACTGTGCTGGCATCCGGAGTAAATTGCTAATACTGTTATAATTACATAATTATGCCGCTGATGTAATTATATAATTTTCTTGGGGGATTTCAATTTCTGATAATCTCATGAACTTTTCATCCAATAATCTTTTGACTTAATTTATTAATGAATTTTTGTTGGCTCATTTCATCTCTTTCAAACCTTCCCACAACAAGTTAGACTTAGTGGAAGAAATCAATATTTTTTGACATTGGAAATAAAAATTTATGTTCTAATATTTAATTATAATTTCAAATTGGATTTAACTTATAATTTTCATTATTAAATTTTCATGATAATTAATTTACTAATTTTTTTTTTAATATTGTGACAAAAGATTGTTACTACATTTTACCTTCTTTTTTTCAATTCTTTATTTTCGATGGGAATTTTAAAATAACTAAATAGAATAGTCCGATCAAAATTTCTAATAATTTGCATATAGGTTCTAAAACTTATATAACAGCCGATTTCATATGTTCATTGCCTACCACATTTCACTGTGATTAGTTGTTCACAGTAATTATATTCTTATCAATTATACTAATTTGAATTCTTAAATGAAGTTAAATGAAATTTATATTAGACCATTTTTACACTATTCCCTTAACATTGGGCCAAATCAAATGAGTCATTATTGAAATGTAAATGTATCTAGGAAAATATATTTGCAGTTGAAGCAAGTGAAAAGCTAAAGTTGGAGATGGAATGGAAATTGATTTTGAATAATTTTTTCTCTCATCCCTTACTTTCTCCTAACTCTGAGCCAGATGGAATGAGCCTTTTCGAAATATTAAATTTATCAAAAAAATATGTTTGTGCATGTATAAGAGAAAAATATCTGGTGTATCCACTCACACGACTTTCCTACCTATTTCAGAAAAGTTTTTATATCTTTACATATGTTCATGAAGAAACAAAAAAGATATGAACTAGATACATTTTCCTGAAAATTGATCAAAGAAAAGATTTGAGTACGATTTATTTGATAAACTAAAGCAATGTAAACCGACTTAAGGTAGTTAGTTTCTGTTAAAAGTAGAGGAGATAGTGAAGATTATGTGATGCTAGCAACAGATTTTCTTACTTTCACTTAGTCATCTTTACTCTCTCATTCACCCCTTTCTGACACCAGGATATGAAAACGTAATCTTATATTGGAAATTGAATAGCCGTAACTTCGTTAGTAGTTGTCCTAAATGAACGATTTTTATATGGCTTTGTAGGGAATTTCATTACCTTTCAAATGACAGGCTAAACGGCGTGTTTTTGACTCAAGGGGCTCTGAAACTTATAGATCCATCGAAAACCGCATGTCAGAAGTTTGACCCGATTGCAATATTTCCTTACCTAGTATAGGTAGGAAAGTAATAGTTGATGTAATTTGATAAAATTAACAGCACCATTTTTTTTTGGATAATTTTCAACTTTTCCTCCAACTTTGAACTAAATTGATTGAGATTTTTTTGAAGTATAGGCATGTCTAAGAATATTTTTGTGCATACATAAGGGAAAGTTGGGAATAGAATTGACAAGGGACCATCTCGTTATCAATCCATTGAATCCCTAAAAATATCATCAAAATTGGATTAAAGGTAATTTGTGTTATATCCATTACCAGGATTTTAATAATGACAGAAATAGAATCAGATTTGTTCCTTTATATCTAAAACTGAATTAAGAGAGTGGAAATAAATTCTAAACACACTCCCACATGAATAAACAAAAATCTTCCTTACCTTTGGTAGTGAGGAAGCAATATTTATTATCACCACTGTTTACAGTTGGTTTGCTATGTTGAAGTAGCTCTATCTAGTTGTATGATAGGAATATTTTCTTGTAGGCCTGGAGCCAGGGCCCAACAATTGACCTGATCGCAGGCGAAGGTTTGAATGTAAATTATGGAAGTGTATGTTATTCTGAGTAAAATAATCCTTGTCAGCCATTCCAAAACCTCTGCTTTCAAAAATGGTGGCTTATCAAAAGAATATTAGGTTAGTAACTTGAGGATCAAAACGAGAAATCCATTGCGACATGTAAAAAACAAAATTGTTAACGCGATTAGGACCTAGGAAAAACTTTTTACAGCCAAAAAATTATGATTTTTTTTTCGATGTTCCTTTGTTTTTTCACTTATAACTCCTAAACGATGCATCAAAGCGAAAAATGTAATCTTGAAGAAATTACAGAACGTCAAATTGTGCATCGAAAGAGTACATAAACATAATAATTTGGTTACGTGGTAAGGTATAAAACCTTGGGTTAACCAACACTGATTTTTACCAAATTTTTCAAAAACTGGGACAAATTACTATAAATCTCTCTGTAACCTGGATATGAGTTGTTTAATAGGAAAAACTCATAGAATCCATGTTGTAGAGCATCAAATTTTGCGTCCACTGCGTACTAACTATTTTAATGTAGGTACTTACTCCAAACAAATCAGTTATCTCCCGATGGTTAGAAGTTGGTAATGAAGATATACATGATTTTCAATATTTCAACAGTATGGGTGTTTATTTACTGAGTTATTTTTGTTTAGAGTCTGTTACATACTGTATAAGTCTCTTTTTCATCTCTCAGCAGTGAAGGATTTTGATAAATGATGTGTCGAAAGAGGCCGAATTTCATAAAGGAATAACGAATCCCAATTCGAGATATATAATTGATTGGCCTTCATTAAAAATGTCAGTACTCAGTGAAAGCAAAATTTAATGCTCCACTGCTTTGATTCTATGGGTTCTTCCTCTTTCGGAACTCATTTCCAATTTATAGGGCCATTTATAGTAATTTGTGTAAACATATGACGGACATTTATTTATCTATTATTTCATTAGTTTACTTATTCTAGCCTTTTTTTTTTTTTTTAATGTTACATAACTTGGTAATTTAACTACTTTTTCCCTGCGATTTTGTGCCAGTAAATATAATTTCTATTGATCATTTTCCTTATTATTAGATGAATAAATTTCTTAGAGTAAAATTTACTTTTCATTTTATTATTATTATTCTCATTAAATAACATCTATCATCTGTTTTGCCATTTTAAATGTTTTGATCATTGTATTTAGTGGCATTCTTGTTGTGAAGTATAAAGATGTGTACACAATAGGTTTATCGATATTTATAACATAAATTAATATCTTGTTTCAGATTTACTGGGTATCTCCAATCATTGCAGGATTCTTTATACCAAAAGTATACCAATATTTCTTTCAAAAAGACTTAACTGTGAAGTCAATTAATTAATTAATTTCTGAATTGTAACAAATAATTATACAGTAGAATCCCGCATTTGTTCAAGTTGGAAACAGCTCCAATGTTAATGTAAAACATCGACTACTCATGGTGTTTCCGGTATTCCAATCTAAAAATCAATTTAATTTAATCATGTATTATTGAATAGGAGACCCTACCCTCCATGAGTTGCAGTACCACAGTTTTTTTTTATGGATACAATATTAAATACTCTAATTTTAATGTATGATAATCATCAATCATAAAACATAAAGAGTTGACAGTTCAATATTTAATGTTATTCAACTTTTTCTTTTTTATGTTAGTGAAAAAAATATTTTGGTTTGAATAATTTTTTCTTACTGTAGCGGTAATATGGAAACTAGTCAACTCTGATAAAATTTATTTATTTATTTCTTGCCAATGTTTAAGCGAGAGTCTACTGTATTTAAATGTGTTTTAGTAATAAGTGCCTTGTATGGTCGATATTATAAATTTTATTTTATTGTTGATTTGTCGTTATGGCGCAAAGTTAAACGATTTTAATCAGACGTTCTTCAGAATTATTCTGAATGTTGTAAAGCATCTCTAACCATATCTGCTTCCGAAAACAACTTTTAAAATGTTAATATCCATTATTGGTAAAAACTAAATTATAGACACTATTAGTCAGGAACATTTAAGTTCTCTTAATGTTATTTTAGTTATTAAGGAAAGAGTCATTCCTTTAGTTTAAATATGTGATGTTACAACATAGAGAATATAATTTCCTCCTTATTTTTTTAATTGCTATGAACTAAGCATCCACTAGACAATGACCATGGAACTTAACTGTTTCATAATTTTTTTATGATTTACTATAAAACCTTAACTGACATAGGTAAAGGAGGGAGGGCTTTGCAAACTTATTGTAATCAATTTATTATAATAAATGGTTTAAAACATTTTAAATTTATATATATATATATAAATTCAGCTCATAAAAGTTCTTCACACCCAAGTTACTTAGCTTGACGATAAATGTAAAAAATGTTATATGCATTTTTAAATTAGCACAACTCATTCACTTCTTCAAAAAAACAAATTAGTATTTGTTTCTAGCAGTAATTAGTGTTCCATTGTTTCGCACTGAAGGCAGTGGAAATTTATAACATATTATTACAAAAACTTCTGAAAAGCTCTACCTTCCCTCCCTCTACAGTTGGTTTATTGGAAATATGGGTTATCCAATGTCTGTTTGAGGTTTTACTGTAAAATTAAGTATGATTTAATTATTATAATATATAAGTATTATAATTAGTAAAATAAGTACATAACTTTTATCTCTGAAAGTCCTAATCCTCTTTTGGGTGTTCACTAATCATGGGCCTCCTTGGCTGAAATATTTTTGTATTAGCATAGAATTAATCTAGAAATATGTGTATTAAATTGTGTGATATTAAATGTGAATTACATTTTAAACTTTAATGCTAAATAATGAGCTCTGTACCACTCAAAAGTGGGTTTTTCTGTGATTATAATCCCCCAATATACAATGTTAATGTTTTTAGTTAAGATTTTAAATTAAGATGATGGATATATAAAAATATATTGTTTCTTGTGAGAATCATATTTTTCTTATATGACCAAATTTGAAATTATTTTCTTAATAGAAAAATGTTCTATATTTTTATTATTGATTACAAAGTATATTTATGTACTTATAAGATAGTTGTTGATAATATTTGATGTGCATTGAATGATATTAAGTTGTATAAAGCATTATTTGTACACATGTAAATATGTAACTATAAATGTATTAGTTTTAATTACTTTAGATAGTATGGTTTGAAATGGTTACAGTTGTTAGTTATTGTAGTTAAGTCAATATTTTTTATATATATTTATTTACCTCTATAATATATTTAATTTTTTACAGCTGTTGATTCCCTGATTTTTTTTTTTAATATTCTGTTTAAATGCTGTTCAAACTAGTACATTATTGTTATCTGCCTATTGAAATAAACAATCATAAATTATGAATAGTTTTATATTTTCTGAAGAATCTTTCTGATTCTAAACTTCAGAAACAACAAATAATATTTTCGCTTAAATCGTATATCATTTAAAAAAAAAAAAAAAAAAAAAAAAAATATATATATATATATATATATATATATATATATATATATATATATATATATATATATATAAACTCTAACACCACCCAACTCAATTGTCACACCTATAAAACAGGTTAGAAAAACATTCTAATTTTTTTGCTTATTATCACATTATAATTTATAGCATATTTCAAACTCAAAACTTCTTATAAAATGTATTTGATATATTGGCAGATACTATTTGATCAGGCATTAAAAAACTAATTCAGTTAGCTTCCTAAATCATTGTAATAAAAAATGCAATTAGACAGTTTTAAAATATAAGTGGCGATATGAAAAAAAAAATTAACTGAATGAAGGTTCTTGAAGAGAGGATATACTAAATAGAACTTTGAAATTTACACTATTCATTAAAGATGGTTTTTGAAAATATATTGAGTGGGAAAAATTTACGGACCATAAAGGTTTTTGAAAGTGCTATTAATGGTAAGAATATCAGCTTGTTTCTTCTTTATGTTATATTTGAAAAGAGAAAGATTAATAATCATTTTCTAAATCTTAAAAAATGCTTCAAGACAAATAAAAAATATGAATATAGATTCAGAAACAATAAAAAAGAGTATTCATAGTTTATTTGATAAAATAAACAATAATTTTGTAAATAAATCAGTTGCTTACTTATTGGAAAAATTATTTGTGAATAAAACATTAATGAATAAATTATTCAATAATGCACTACAATGGTACACCATTATTACACAGGATTGATATAGCTCAGTCAGTGGCGTAGCAACAAGTTTTGTGGCCCTTCACCTAATTGTGAAAGAAGGATTACAAACATTTTTGCACTTTTCAAATAATGTAATAAAACATTAAATAAATGAAAAACAATTCACAATTGATAATTATTAAAAGTTTTTATATAAAATATATTTTGACCACATTGACTTCTAAATCAGTCACTTACGGCTTGTCAGCACAAGGAAAACAATCATATATGTTTTTTTGTAATATTTAAGATAATTTTCATTCACAGGGACATAACTTAAAATTCAATTTGTGCATTTGAACTTTTAAATAATGTATTGATTTCTTTCAAAACTAAAATAAATAAACCTTTCAAATCGCACTGAGTATTGATTGAATTCATTGTTCTAATATGCATTACAAAGTTTTTGAAAGGTAGGTTTATTACTTACATTGCTCTTTTTCTGAGACATCATTTTCCCAGTATCTTATTACATAACTAAAACTTCCTCTTTGTTATGTAGTTATTGTTATTTATAGCATTTTTTGAATGATTAAAAATATTTTTAGAGAAAAAAAAACCTGAAGAAATGTGGACCCCTTCAGCCTCAGGGCAAGTTTTCTTCCCCCAAGCTTGCCTATGGGATCAGCCTAATATACCCTACAATTATAACATTAATTTCTTCACAAAACTATTCCTTCTCACTGCCCTTCAAGAAAAATGTATCAATGCCGTCAATTATACTTCAGAGTTGTATAATCCTCAAAAAACCATTTCAATTTGTGATTACTTTTCCCTTCATTTTGTAACTATTGAGCTACCTTAAGGTTCCATTTTTTTGGCTTCTCAATGTTCCTTACACCATTTTTGTAATCTACCATTCAAATTGAAGTGTACCATAACAACATCGTATGAAAAGAGCTTGATGAATAATTTCAGTAATACTAGTTTGCTAGCTAGTATTATCTGTCAAAATATAAACTGCAAATCCTTGCTTAAACAACGTGCTTTTCATGAATGTTATGAGTTTTCTTCAAAGAGATGACAAAATTAAAAGGTTGACAAGCACCTGCCTACCTACATTGATTAAAAGATAAAGAATATGGAGAGCAATTGAAGGATTAGTAGATTAAAAGTCTACGACATAAAAAAAAAAACAGTTTATAAAACACCTGATGCTTTGTTTAATGCTTCGTATATAGACAAAATCCTATACATACCAGATCTAAGGAGATACTATAAATAAAATAAAATATTGGTAACAAAATTTATTAACCAATCCATTAATACATTGTGATGAATAAAAAATTTAGTACTATAAAATAATTTTTTAAAAAGTAACAAAATATAAATAACAGCTGAACACTGAACATATAATAATATAAAATTACAAAATAAACTACAGTGTTCAGAAAAATAGATAAAAAATAATCTTAATTATTAATTATTGGACGGAAGTATTAAAGCTCATTTTTTATATCAGATCAATACTAAAAACAGTCTAAAACATTTATGCTTTGTAGCATTTCTATTTATAAAAATATATAATATGAAAAATCAAATGATAAAAGTGACTGAATCAAAATAAAAATATCCTCAGACTTAAGTCATGTTACTGAAGGTATAGACTAATATAAACTATATGCACAAAAATAGATAACAGTTTTATAAAAAGCCCACATAAATGTTGTGAAGCCTTAGTATAAATTAAGAAGTATTTCCTTAGTTAGTGAAGTATATATACAAAATGCTACAGCATATAAAAGCAGCTGGTAAAATAAATGCCAGAGATGGTCAATGAGTAAATTGACTTATCTTATAAAATAGATTAGTGCCAATTTTTTTTAAGTTTGACGAACTTATTAGGTTTTGCTTATTTCTTTCTTCATGTCAAACATGTATGGCCACAATTAATGCTCATTACAAATGAACTTCTAGCCATCTTGATTGGTCTTCACTTAAAACGTATTTTAAACATCTGTTGGCGTTGGTATAGTATAAACTGTACTGTGCGGAGTAGTTGGTCTAGAGCCAGCAAGAGAAGGAGCAGTAGAGGCTGCTAGAGATGCCATTGTACTCAACTGAAAAAAAAAAAAAGTATTAATTCAGTAACTACTAACAAGGATTAGATGAACCAAGCTCCATTTCTTCAGTACAAAAGGAAAAGGCTATTTCTTGGTCAAGATACATAATAGCAGTAATAGTTACAGAGATATCTAGTTGTATTACTGAAAATATCAGTTCTTTAGGATAATTTTCTAATCATCTAAATTAAATTCCTTTTAAAATATACTTTGTGGCTTCAACATAATTCTTCCAACGAACTGTTTTCTTCAACTTCGTTTCTGTAATCTGAAAGGAGGTAAATTCTGGAAAGGTATTTAGTTAACACATCATTAGTTTTGACCTTGTCCTTTTATTATATAAACAGACCAAGGGCTTTTAAGAAACAATGAGTTGCTGATTGGATGTGTGAAAGTTAATTTCAAATTGAAATGGCCCTAATTATAACTTGGATTATGGAGGATGGATCAATTGTAAAAGTAGTCTCAATAAACTCCTTTGTTTCACTATTCTACTTCTGGTTTAACACATCTTGTAGAAATTTTATGGCTTAAAAAGACAATTAATGACCCTTCATCCACGCCAATAATGTGTTGATGATGTGTTGGGAAGCCCATCAAGAATCTCTTAAGAGTTTTTTATTTTAGATGAGATGATGTTTATTCATCCATGTAAACCATTAACTACGAATCAGGATTCAAAAAGAACGATGCAAAGTTTGATGAGAATTTACCTGAAAATCTTGAAATAAATTCTTAGGTTCTGTTGGTGATATATTTTTATTTTCTTCCCAACCTTGCCCTTAAGGAAACAGCAACCAGTTAATACACACGGCATCTTTACATTATAATAAATTTCTGTACACATCCTGCTATGATTCATTTTTCAATTTCTTCTTCCTACGTTTTCCCGTGCCTTCTTCGGTGGCCTTCCAGGTACTGTTTCTTCACGTCTACCCAAGGAGAAGTGGGTTGGGCCCACAGCTTCTTTCCACTCGCACAACAAGCTTTTGTAGTACAGGTATTTTTCTTTAGGCATCAGTTGCTTTCTATTAAAATGTAGAGCCATGTTCCCCTCATCAATTTGGCTCCCAATGCCTCATATTTGGTGAAGGCTACAAGAATGTGCTCAGCAATTTCTGATACACCACAAGTGGGGCATAAGGGGTTCAATGTTTTTATTTTAGCATGTTCAAAAACCATCGCTCTGAAATCCCTATGCCCCATAAGGATCTGTGAGACCCAGTAGTCCAGGATGGCCCATGTCTTTTCTCGGTGCGATCCAACACTGGAAAAGAACTTTCTCAATGTGGACACGTTTGGGGTTGTCACCCATCATCGGTTATATTCTTCCAATGTATCAGCTTCCATCTTCTAGGGTCTTCAAAAATCGTCTCAAATATTTGCTGGTAAATCCGCCAAGCCACTCCTCTTAATGTTGTGTCGCAAAAGATCTTTCGCAAAGGAGGAGGTCGAGAGGAATACTTCCTGGAATATCTTCTTCTGTTGCAGATATAAATTAATAATTTTTAACCATGGCGAAAACTAAAATTTTTTCCTAGTTCCTAGTGCAATATCAATTTTGCTGCCTCTGGTTTCTCCTTCCCCAATACAAGACAATAGTTTTATAATAGTATTTTAGGTAATATATTTTGAAATAAATATCAATACATTCATAGCCTGAACTAATTTTATGGTCTGAATTAAAATGGAAACAAAAAAAAATCAGATAAAATTAATTTTATTTAACCTGAAAATATTATTTTGTTCGAAATCTGTTGCTCAGGGAAATTGTTACCTTTGACTCTCTCTAGTTCTGGCACAGTTTTTAAGCCCATGTGACACCAAATTTAGATATTTCAAAAGAGGAGACAAACTTCTGTTTAAATAGCTTAAGAAACTAAATTTAATTTGAAAAGGTTTTCTTAAACCTACAAACCTATTTAATGGACAAATTCAGAACTAATTACTGTACTTTTCACACACCTAGGGTTAATATATGTAAGCATATTTTTATATACCTCATTCCTGAAATACAGCTTGATAAAGGATGACTTTGTTTAAAACTAACACATAGTATGAAATAATGAGCATATAATTTTGAAATTTATTATAGAACGAAAAATTCACAAAATTAATCACACTATAAACTACAATATTAAAACATTGGGCTTCGATTGATATTCCTCAGTAAAATTAACTAATTCTGGGAGATTACTGTCAGAGAATAAGTACCAAGGAAAGATATTAATTATGAAGAATTTTTTCTAAGTAGTATTCAAACCACTATTATGTCATGTGTAAGGTTACTACAACCATAAACTTGTAACTTTTCTGTATGACTGTTGTAATGTATATAAAAAAATAAAATAAATAAATAAAAAAATGAAGAATTGGTATATGGTTCAGTCCATAGGTGGAGAACTGTGGTCTCGGAGACTGTATAAGAATATTTTTGCACAATATTTATTATTCTAGAGCTGGAATTAATTAATATTATATTATGTAGGCTAAGAAAATTTGAAAATTAATAGAATTAAGTTATATAAACGTATATGGGTGAATTTAGTGACAAATAAAAATAGGAAGAGTAAAATACAAAAAATTGTGGCAGCCTCCAGTTTCACTGCCTTAACCTTATTGTGGTCTCTAATGGTAAAAAGGTTCCCCACTTATAGTTCAGCCAGTGTCTTTAGAATAAATGAGTAACTATTTGGATGAAGAAGTAACCAGTCACATTTCAAAAACCACAATTCAGGTTAGAATATTTACATCCAACCAGTCTATGTAGAGATTAAGTAACTTCATAATTTTTATTTTAATATTATTTATCAAAAGTAAAGATAATAGAGTATATTCAGTCTCTCTATATAGCTGGGACTATAAACTATTTCTCAGGCTTGTTAGCAAGAACTCCTGTTCTTTGTAAGAAGAATCGTCAGACAAATCTATTGTGGTATTCGGGTCAGTCGAAAATTATTAGAGATATAGTCCTAGTGATGAAAATTGCAAACCAGAAGGGTAGCAAATGTCAAGATGGGCACGGAGGATCCATCAGACAGCTGCTGATGGAACCACTCGATGTAGGTAGATAACTCAAATCAGTCCATTGTCGAGACAATCGACTAATGCAAGCTTTGTTCTGGGGCTTGAAAACTGGATGGTAACAGCAAGAAACTGAGGCAACTGAAGAAGGCTAAAATTAGATATCGGAATGAAGACTAATAATAATAATTATTTTTATCAATAAAATATTTAATATCATATAAAAGAAAAAAATTTACTTTTAATTTATTGTAGTTTAGCTAGACAACTCAAACAAACAAGGCATATTTAGGTATTAAATTATTACTAGGCTGAGCTATGATGCTTCGACACCCCATCCAGCCATATATCAGGTATTGGAACCTTAGAGCACAGTGCTCACCATGCTTTCCCCCAAGTATACCATATGATTGAGGTTATGAGAGAGAACCTAAACCAGTGCTTACACCATGGCTCCTCCATGGACTATAGCATACATAATCTTTGGCTTGTTTATTGTTTGTTACAACTGAATGTCAATGAAGTGCAGGTGCATATTACAAGCAATATACATTGTTTTAAATACTATTTTGTTATAGACAGATTTCCAAACCACTGTACAAAGCTCTACTTGTGTTATTAAGGCATGAATATTAAGCAGTACACCAATACCACCCTCGACTGCCTAAATAATATTGACTCACTGCCTTCATTTAACATTAAAATATAAATAAGGTAATTGTTTGAAGTAGACTAGGACAGGTTATTTTGTTAGTAAATTACTAGTAAGTTGTTTGAATAATTAAAATTTATACACAATATCACCATAACGAGAAGAAACTGTATTTTCTGAATAATGGACAGATTATTCAAATTACAAAAAATGAAACTAGTCATTGAAAAATTAAATTAAAATTCACTATTTTTAAATGTGATTTACTCAAACAGTGTGTGAATCAATGCCAATTCGTAAGGCTCTTTTAATGTCATAATTTTATACATTTTTTTTATTGATACAAAAGTATAATAACGTTTGTGCAAATTTAGACAAACTAATTCTGTAGAATATATGTGCAACAGAAAGACATAGCACACAGTTTGCCTCACATAATAATCTACTTACTGTTTCTCAGTAGTATAAATCTTAATGACATAATGACAACCGTAGAAGAAACCTTCACTGAGTGTCTTTGAATATCTGAGGAAAAAAATCAATGTCATACTTTTCCCAAAAAAAGTTATGTAATTTTAGATAATTGTGGGAATTTATTTATATAAACCAATCTTAATGTGATTTTTATTAGAATTTTTAAGGTCAGTCTAAAAAAAATTATCATAAATATTAATCTGAAAACTTGTTAATCAATTTAAGTAATCAGAAACAAAATCCATATTATATTTCTCATAAACAATCACGAATTCTGTTAATAACAGAGACTGGTTTTTATACTATATCAAAAACCCATAAAGTTTGCTCTAAAAATATTTAATGAAATAGAATATAAATAAACCTGGTTTTTACAAGAGTTTGCCAATTGAGTTCCCTCATACTTTTCAAAGACACCCTCTCCCTCTTTCCACAAATAAGGAAATAAAAAAAAAAAATGAAATACTGCACTAGTTTGTTCAACAGTACCAGTATTATCGCTGAGGCTGAATAATCAAAATTATAAGTCAAACGGAACTTAAGTATGGTTCAAATAATAATATTTAAATGTCAAAAACATCAATGTCCTGATCAAACCCTAAATAACAGAGCAGCTTAGGAGGGAGTGGAGAAAAATTCATAACTGAATTCTGAGAAAAGAAAATCAGATAAACATCATAATTATGATTATGTCAAATATTTCTTTTAGTTCACTACACTGGTAGGTGCTTAGAATAGGAAAAACTGCAATAGCTTATAACAATGGCTTAGCTATGATTTATAATTGTTATTCATTATAAGAGAATTAAAATTACATTTATTTACTTAAAAAAAAATATTTTAAGCTGTAAATTTATACTTATGCATTTTATTTTGAGATATAGATTGAAAAAGCGGCTCTAAACAGAATAAATCAACTATCTTTATGATAACGAGAGTTGAGAATGATAATAATATAATGTAAAACTTAGAAAACACTGAACAATTTAATGACGTATTCAAAGATGTATCAAGTGGTGATGGAAAAAAATTATTATTTTGATTTTAATTACTATCTTTTTAGCAATAAATTTTCATAAAAATCGAGCAGCCAATAATAAGAACCCCTTACCGAATACAGAATAGTGACAATGGTAAAACATTTTATATAAATTAATTTTATTAGAATCTCAACTTTCAGAATTTCTGGAATCTGTAACATAGATTTATAAAACTATTTTTTTTAACCAATTACCACAATTCCACTTCCTTACGGAAGTTGAAGAAGGAAAACAATAACAATGCTAATCGATGATTTTCGAGACCATAAAACTAATAATTGACATAGTTAAGTATCCTCTCACCACCAAATGGACAACTTAATTTAAAGAGTAATGTTGATAACTATTTAATTTATTTCTACTTGAAGCACATTTTAGATCTACCCAAAACAGATTTTAAAAAGCTATGAAAATGTTAGTAAATGCTAGAATGAAGGCAGAGAGTCAAGTTAGACTCTCACCTACTGAACTGGTTGTGTGGAGACTGTGCTGTGAGGAGTTGTCGGCCGTGACCCAGCAAGAGACTGTGCCACGGATGCATTCAGAGACTGCATTGTACCCATCTGAAAGTTTAGTCCACACACACATAAAGGTACATGGTGTCCAGCAATGAACACATAAGAGACATTTTTATTGGTAAAGTTCTTTTTTTTTCTTTCATAAAAGTAAAAATGATAATGAAATTATGAAACATCAAAATTAATAAGAATAAAAAACATACCCTGAGATGGGCCAAATCTTCAAGCTTTGTCAAATCAATTAGCTCTAAATAAAGGGAATAGACGAGAACCCATCCATATGCATTCAACACACAGAATATCGCCCAAAGAAGAACCATGATAATGTTATAAGAGAAAATTAGATCGTTGACAGTTGTGAAAAATATCCAAGCCAATACTCGTAATACTGTGAACAATGCAAAAGAATACAGCCATGGTACCATTTTCTTTTCATGTTCCTGAAACAAAAAAGGAAAAATAATTTAATTCACATAAAACAACCTATTACTTATATATATACATATATATATATATATATATATATATATATATATATATATATATATATATATTTATTTTTTTTTTTTTTTTGAGACAGGAACCAAAATGTGGTACCAATTCATCAATTAGAGGGACAGTAAGAACAATGAGGAACAGTGAAATAATCTTAATTAAAAAAAAAATTATGAAAGAAATAGTTTTCTTTAATTTATGTATTGTTGGCTGAGGTATGGCAAATCAAGGATCAAGTCCGGGGTCAGTAAAAAAAATTATCATCAAATAGTATAATTTCATAAATAACATTAAATGGTAATAAACAGTTACAACTGTTTTTGACTGATCCTTAGATTATCTTCTTAGTTTTTGTTTTATTTCTCATTTTTCGTTCTCCTTCAAAGTATATTACAACCTATTTACAAAATTGAATTGCACTTAACATATAAAACTACGTAAATATAAACCAACTTAAACAACAGCCTGAGGTTGAATTCACATGGCACCATTGAAGCTATTTGTTTTTTCCTATGCCCTAATTTTATTTACAAATAAGTTCATATATTATGAGCTGACTGCTTAGACTACCCACTTGGGAGCCTTCTAATACCATCAGCGTAGACACACTTACCTAAAAGAAGTCTGAAATATTTGGGTTGAAATGACTTGTTCAACAGAAAACACAATGAGCAAGTCTTGACTAATTATTACCGATAGTAAGTGATATTAATAAAAATGATTTAATAAATTAAATAATTAACTTTTCCTATTTCTTCTTACACTGTTTTCTTTTAAAGGCTCAGCTAATTTTGTTATGGATAGGATTTTAAATAATGAAAATGCCAGTGTTATGGTTAAATAAAAGTGATTAAAGTTATCTTAAATTATAACAAATGCGAGCATAAGAATTTGTTCGATAGAGATAAAATAATCTTACAGAATTAAAAGTTTCTTTCTTCAAGGATTGTGCCATTTCATAGCAGTACCTTATGGATATTTAAAAGAAATAAAAACTGGTAATTGACAATGAAATATTGTTATAATAATAGATTTTATATTGTTTAAAGGTAACAGTGCCATAAGAATATATTTTTAACTATCACTAAGACCAAGAAGATTCATATTAAAAAACAAAGTTGTAATTTATCTTAAACATAAATTAAATACATAAATAGTATAAGTGAATCATTACCTTCCTTAATGCTAATATGAGCATAATACTTGTAACAAATATAGCCATAGCTGCAAGCACTGAGAAAAGAGCAAAAAGAACCAATGTGTTTCTCACTAAAACAAAAGTATAACATAACCATAAAGATAATTTTAATAAAATAACAAATATAATTGTGAAACATTAAGTCAATTACCATGTTTATTGCCAACATAAACAAACTGATAACTAATAAAATAGTATCCATAATGAACTGAACCTGGAGCAGCCATAACATAAGAATATAGATCAAATATCCCAGTAAATATTGTAAAAATACTCAGTCCCTGAAAAAATAAATAAGATAACTTATTAACTCTAGCAGAAATTAATACTCACAATACCACAAATAAACTAATTTTAATAGTTATAAGGATCATTAAGATCGTTAAATTGTGGGCCTTCTTGAGTAATGTGGGTTTTCGATTTACCTTCTAGCAGAGAAGAACACACACATGATAAATAATTTCCAAAAGGATTTCAAATTAATGCTTCACTATTTCCACATTCTAGCCAGTGGCCTATCTAGGATGGGGTAAGTAGGGCACATGCCCTGGGAGCTATTCAAAGGGGAGTGCAAAATTCACAAATTATTAAATTTAAAAAATCCAACTTAACCAATAATATAACCTACATCTAAATGATCTCGCAATTCCTGTTTTAGTGAGTTGAGGTGAATGAGTGGGAAAGAATCAGGGCGGGGTAGTACTAGTGAAACTTGCCATGAAATTATGTATATACACGTTATACCCTACATATGACATATCTTTGAAGTCTTTATGTTGAAAAAAGAGGTTGGCAAAGCAAGCAAACAGCAAACAGATCAAATTTTTAAATTGCTTTTTGACTAATTGAGATTAGGTGCCCTAGCTTTGTTCTGTGTAGATTGAGAAGAAATGGATACACCTGATTTAGAAAACATCAATGGTATCTTAGCATCAAAGAAGGCCAGGAAGATACAGTTGTAAATGTAGTTGTTTTATTGTCTTACTTTCATTATAAAATAGAAAATAAATATGTTTTGGGATATAAATATTAAAAGGAGGAACATATGGTTGAATGTTGAGAAAAATTTTACTTTAATTCTTAAGTAATTATTCACTTAATTATATCAATTTCAACCTATTAAAACTCGAGAAATTGAGATTTACAGACCTCCAAAGTCTGTTCTAACTTTGTGGGTATAACCATTCTGAAGAATGGCACCCGAAGAAGAAGTCCTAACCATGAACGTTGAAAACTCAAAACCTAAAGAAGTCACAACAAGAAAATCTTTTGCCTCAATTGCAAAATCAACCTTGACTCCAAAGAAAGACCAGGGTATTGTATTCACTGCAATTGAAAAAACTTCCATCTTGAAATATATCGTAGGAGTTGGAGAACTGATAGGCCCAGGTAATATAATTTTTTCTTCTAAGATCTCTAATAACCGAATCGTTTTGTTTCTGTCAAACAAACAGCATGTATTAGACTTCCTTCAAGTACACAAGGGTATTACAGTCGATGGTAATTTCATTCCAGCACGCCCCCTTATTGTACAATCAAAAAGAATTGTCATATCCAATGTCCCTCCATATCTCCCCAGTATTCTAATAGAAAATAAGTTAAAAGAGATAGGAATCAAGCTATACTCGGCAGTAAATTACCTTCGCGCAGGGATCAAAATACCCGGGTATGAGCATATCCTCAGCTCCAGAAGACACACATTTGCACAACCGGATACACTACCTACTTTACCTTCTAACTTTCTCGTGGAATTCGAAGGAGATACCTATAGGTTGTTCCTAGATGGTGACGAAGTTAGATGCTTTTCTTGCCACGAAGAGGGACATATAAGCAAAAATTGTCCACTCAGCGAAGTTAAAAATCCCGATGAGGCCAATAACTTGGCCGTTTTGCCGTCAGCCGTTAACAGTTTGGTTGAAGCCCACGAAGAGCTGATGGAGGACAGGGGAGAAAACACTTCGTTTACCACAAATGACAATAATACAAATATCTCTCAGCATCTCGATTTTACAATCCTGAGTAAAGATGGCCCAGTAGCAAACCCATGCCCTGCTAAATCGGAAGATTCACAACACAGTGCAACAATCCAAAATACACAACAAAGTAACACTAAAAATAAAACTAACCTAAGAACAGTAATCACAGAACATATGTCTGCTACCCCAACTGAGATTCCTTTCAGTATAACCTCATTAAAAACAGGCAAACTAAAAAATAAACAAACCGAGAGTATAAAACAAGAAAAAATATTGAACAAAAGTAGTAAAATAACGAAAACATTAGTTCCTATGGCAAAACGAAAAAACAACAATCAAACAATGAAGGAAATGTTAGAACCAATTCGTATTTTAGTCACAAATGAAAACAAATATCCGTTAGCTTACTCAAAATTATGCCTCTTTCTTGAGATGGCTCATAATGAAAAAGCCACTAACATCAAACAACTTGCCACACAGTTTACAAAAAATATCGATGGATTGAAAACTATGCTGACTGATGTAAGGCACAAGTTACCCAACAGAGGAATGAAGATTAGAGTATCAAAAATTATTAAAGAACTAAGTGGTACTGTTTCTAGTTCCAACACAGAACTATTTTCAGACTCTGACGATTCAACGCTTTCTAGTGTTGATCTTCAGGCCAAAAAATAAAAAAATGTTTAACTCCATGGAGCAAATAGTTCAGTGGAATTGTAATGGGTTATTTCGCCATTTAGAATTTTTTCAGAAATTAATGAATGAAGAAACTCCACTGTGCTGTTGCATACAAGAAACCCACTTGAATGAAAAAAATGTCTTAAATGTCAAAGGATATCGAGCCTACAGAAGGGATAGACAAGGAGCAGGGAGATCTTGGGGTGGTGTTTTAACCCTTGTGAGGGCTGACTTATTCTCCGAGGAATTAAATTTAGACACACACATAGAAACAGTCGCAACAGTAATCAAAGGAGCTGAACCCCTGACAATTTGTAACATTTACATACCATCCGCTGTCGATTTCTCAAAGGATGACATTGAACACATTGTTAATCAGCTACCAAGGCCGTATCTTCTTTTGGGGGATTTTAACGCAAATAGTTTTCTTTGGGGCTCCCCACTACCAGACATTGGACATAGAGGACACAGCGTTATTAAATTTTTAGAATTTAGCAGCACTGCTACTCTTCTTAATACCGGTTCATTTACACACTTCGGCTCAGGAAGTAATAGTCTCTCTGCCATTGACTTAAGCATCGCGGACGTCAGATTGGCCCCCAAATGCATCTGGAGAACTAAAACCCACTTATATGGAAGCGACCATTTCCCCATCGTTATACAGGTTAATGGGCCGTCTCTTCCACAAAATATAAAGCGACACTGGAAGTATGAGGCAGCTGATTGGGAATCTTTTCAGAAATCAATTATATTGGCCAAGGATAATCTAGAAAGAACAGCTAATAACATAGATCTTCAGGTAGCGAATTTGAATAATATTATTCTGCAAGCAGCCTACGACAACATTCCAATCACAAGTAATGGTCTCCTTAAGAAAAGAGTTCCATGGTGGAACGAAAGATGTCAGGAAGCAGTGAAAGCAAAAAAGCGGGCTTTCAACAGGTACAAAAGAAGTAGGAGTTTCAATGACGCAGTTGAATTTAAGAGACTTCGAGCAATTGCAAATAGAACTATTAAAGATAGTAAGAAGTCATCGTGGAGAGAATTCGTTTCCTCTATTAACTGTGAAACACCAGTTACAGAAGTATGGAACAAAATTAGATCTATTCGTGGAATTAACAAAAAAAACCCAATATCAGGGATAGATGTAGCAGGGAATATAATAACAAATCCATCAGAGATAGCAGAGACATTGGCACAACAATTTTGTAAACCATTGATTAGTTGCCTCAATAATAAGGAACCAGCGGACATTGCAAACCAAGGAGTAATGCCAAGGCTACAAGTGCCAAGTTCTAATGTTTGCTATGATGAACCTTTCACATTGAAAGAAATGGAAATGGTAATTAAAAAATGTCGTGGAAAGTCAGCAACAGGTATAGACGAAATTTCTAACGAAATGATAAAACACTTACCAGATGAAGGTAGATTATACTTACTTCAAATATACAACGAGATCTGGGATGCTGGTGAACTCCCTAAGCTATGGAAAACCTCAATTATCACTCCAGTCCCAAAAAAAGATATTCCAACCCACCCAAATGACTTTCGTCCTATTTCATTACTCTCGTGCCTCTCTAAATTACAGGAAAAAATGGTAAACAATAGACTTGTTGATTACATGGAACGAAACAAACTATTTACCCCCCACCAATTTGGTTTTAGAGAAGGACATTCCACAACTGATGCACTTTTGTTAATGCAACATGAAGCAGACGAAGCATTCTCTCAAAAAGAACATTTGGTTGCTGTCTTTTTGGACCTGGAAAAGGCTTATGATACCATGTTAAGAGGCCGCGTAATGCAAATCTTAGATAATTATGGTGTTCAGGGAAAATTGAAGGCATACATTGAGAACTTTCTTAAAGAAAGAAAATATCAAGTCAGAGTTGGGTCCTCCTTGTCGTCAATCCACGTTTCTCAAAATGGCACGCCCCAAGGTTCACCTCTAAGTGTAACTCTGTTTTTGATTGCTATGAATGATCTACCACCGAATTTCAAATGGCCTATTAAAATCATAATGTTTGCCGACGATGTATTATTATTAGTTCGCAGCAAATCTCTCTATTTTATTGAGTGGAAACTACAGAAAGCACTGAGAAAAGCAGAAAAATGGGCACGAAATAGCGGTTTTAATTTTTCGATAAATAAAACAAAGGCCATGCATATATGCAGAATTAGAGGATGCTCTACGTATCCTAAACTAAAATTAGGGATGGCCGACATCTTGTTTGAAGATCACCAAAAATACCTAGGAATCCATCTAGATAAAAGCTTAAAGTGGACTGACCACATTAAAGGTCTTAAACAAGAATGTTTAAAAAGACTTGGCCTCCTAAAGTGTCTTTCGCATTCTAGTTGGGGAGCTGACAGAAGCAGTCTATTAAAGGTATACAAAGCGATGATCCGTAGCAAAATAGATTATGGAGCATGTGTATATGGAACCTCAAAAAGAAGTATTTTAAAAATTCTTGACCCAATCCATAATGCTGCCTTGAGGATATGCTCAGGAGCTTATAGAACATCGCCAATTGAGAGTCTATATGCAGAATGCGCCGAACCATCCCTCGAGACAAGAAGAGCATTTATGATTGCAAAATATGGGGCCAAAATAATGTCACTTCCACGACATCCCTTACGAGACATCATAATAGATCCAGAAACAGTTTCAATCAATAGCAGTTTTAAGCGAAATATAATCCAAACAACGTCAGCATTCAATATGAACCTAAATTGCATCCAAAAGCTCCCAAATAAAAATTTTCCAAGGTGGAATCCTCCGAATATTCCTACAGAAAAATATATGTCCCACATCTCAAAAAAAACTCTAATTTCGGATGAAAAAAAATCTTATTTTCTAGAATTATTAAATAAATACTGCAATTACAAAATATTGTACACAGATGCATCAAAAGCCGAAAACCAAGTGGGATTTTCAGTCGTTACAGACAGTGAAGAATCCCTGTACAAACTTTCAGGAGAATGTTCTATTTTTACGGGAGAAGCCACGGCCATAAAAGAAGCACTCTTACACATCCGCAGCAACCACTTCAAAAACCATGCTATCGTAACCGATTCAATGTCCGTAATAGAAGCCATAGAACAATTAACGAACCAGCATCCTGTTATAACAGACATTTTTAACATATATGGTGAACTAAAGGAAGAAAATAAAAACATAGTCCTTATCTGGGCACCATCACACTGTGGTATCCTGGGTAACGAGAGAGCCGATGCTGCTGCCAACTCTGCCCGGCGTCAAGGAACTGCACAAACCACAATAATTGATGCTATTCCTCGAGAAGATTGGACACACCAACTTGCCTGCTCCTTTCAAAATAAATGGAACGTTGAATGGGAGATGAGTTCGGCAAAACTTCAGGAAATAAAAACAACATGTATCAAATGGAACACATCAAACAGAAAGTCTAGAAGAGAAGAAGTGATACTATGTCGCCTAAGAATTGGCCACTGTGAGTTTTCCCATGGATACCTCCTGCGAGGATTAGAAGCTCCAACTTGCACACATTGCCTAGTACCCAGAACAGTAAAACATATACTATTAGAATGTAGAAGGTACACCAATATAAGGAAAAAATTTCAAATGGGAACGGAAATGAAAACAGTTCTGCAAGATGAAGAGAATGAAATAGAAAAATTGTTCAAATATCTAAAGAATATTCACTATTATCAACGAATATAAAATGGAAACATTAAGCCAATGACCCTTAGGGGTAGAGGCTAAATAAACAAATAAACAAATAAAAAAATATGTTTTGTAAGATTTATGAATGTTTTATTTAGTGTATCTGTTTTTTATATTAAAATAATTTACAAATGGTGTGTATATTTTACATCTTTTATATGTAACGTTGACACCATTTTTAATCGACTAGTTAATGAAATATTGGTAAATCAGTAATATAATGGATTTTCCAATTGATTGAATTAATAACAAATACGGTGTAATGAGTTTAATTGATTATTGAATCAATCTCATTTGACTATTCAAGAATTGTTTAAAGTTAAATTACTAGATGATTATAAGATTACAGGTCATTATAGTGTCCAAAGGAAACATGACACTTTCTGAAGCCTTAATTTAGTAGTTATGGGCTTTATAAAATGTAAAATATCTTCCTCTTTATATATTTAGAAAAAATTCCATCAATATTTGATGTTATGGAAGTAATTTAAAAGTTTGAACCCTGAAAATATTATCATGACTGTTGCAAGTTTAAGATTAATTTTATATACTTAAGGTTTGTAGCTTTTGGTGTTCTGCACTTTATTCATCTAAACATTTTTTTAAAAAAAGAATATATATATATACATTTATAGATTAGTGAAATTAGAAAATTTAATGTATAAATGTTTATATTGTAAGGTTACGTTTCCGTTGAAAAGTAAACAAACAGTTTCTTAACCAAATTATATTTATTCCTCACAATTATTTTAAATTATTAAACTACAAAGTATTTCTCAAGTTAGGTTGAGACAATAAACAGACATTCCTCAATTATATAATATAAAAGCATAAATTAATTGTATATATAACATTTATGAATTTCCATTCCATTTTGTCGGAGTCTATGTTGTCGGCGCTCCTAAATGACATTATTTATTTTGCACTCATGAATTTTCCTCTGTATTGTTGCTGAAAGTATTACTGTATCAATCTTCTACAAATGGTTTCTCTATTTTTACATTTTCATGTAATCGTTTAGCTACTCTCTACCTGCCGATCGGTCACTCTCTGTTTGTCTCGATTCTCTTTCCTCACCGGCTGGTTATCTTCTCTTTTCAAAATCTGGCTTCCATCTATCTTTCTCCGCCTCTTAGTCCATTCCTTGACAGTAGTTTGTGACTTCAATTTTGCGCCACTATTTAAATTCACTATCTAATATTTACATAACAGAATATATATATACTTTTTTAAAAAAAAAATTTTAGATGAATATATGGTGCAGTGCAAAGCACCAAAATCTCCACAACATAAATAAATTAAACTGTAAAAAGAAGGGTGTTTTTCTTATTTTTAATATTATTACACAGTCTACCAATTACGATTAATTTTATTTTTTAACATTATTTTTTTGGAGAGCCAACTTTTTACTTAATGAGTGCTGAGTAAAAACAACATTTCTCATGTTTGCGGAGCCATTACCATCAATATAACGATTGGAAGTAAATAAGTTAAAAAGGTAATTTTTGATAAATTAACAATTGAAGTAAATGGCCATCCCATGGATGAATTTGAAACTTAAAAAAAACTTCTTGATAGTTAATATTTGCTGTAATAAAAAGTAAAAGATGGCAAAACAGATTTGTTCATATTCATTTGTCACTGTAATTAAATGCTTAAAATTATTAAATTTTAATGTTATATTTTGAAAGGTGTTTTTAAGATCATTAAAGATTCTAACAACTCTATTTACTCCTAGTTAAAACAAAAAAAATAAAAAGCTCCTTTGAATAATACAATATCATTACAACTGAAAATAAACAGAAGTAACCGAACCATCAGATAAGGCCGCAAGCCCAAGGGAAAGTACCCGCTGGGAGTTGGTTTATCCCTTCTCAGCAAAAGTAGTCAAAAGCAGAGATGTAATTAAATCTAATTAAGATAAGATTTTAACTAATAAGAATTACTTAAGAGTTTGCAAAAGTCGTTAATTATATCTTAATACAGGAAAGTTATAGCATGAGTATATCAATCCTAGGTCATTCTCCAAATCCCACTTAGAGGTATAGCGTGATCATGAGATCTTGGCCCACTCGTCAAAGTAGAGGAACACATGCACAGTAGTACAATCTTAAGATATTAATTAAGAAAAGAAACATACATTAAGCAATTTAAAGAACACAAGAAAGGCAATCAAAAGTAAAGTGATAATCCATCCTGTATAGCACTAATAGTTGAGACTGTTGTTGATGTTTGGGCAATGAGCTTAATGCCAAAAGGAAACTGGAAAAACATGAATGTGGATCTTATGAAACAATATTTAGAGCTCACCTAATAAGGCAATATTATTAAACATAATGCATACATCACATGTGTCAATAAAATTGTTACGACTTCGTAGTCAATATATTGATGATATTCATATAATGTAAGGCTTTCTTAAGATGATAAAATGATGCCTTTTAGAATTTTCTCATTTCTGTATAATACCTCAAATATAGATAGTTTCTTTTAGATAATCTACTCTAGAAAGCTTTAGGTCAGAAAGTAAGTGAAGACAAGAATTTTATTCTACATAGTGTATGATTCGGGATTAATAGTGATCATTGAAACTGTAACAGATTTCAACTGCGTTCATCGAAGAGATAACAAGAGTCTTATCAGTGGAAGTTGCAGCATCCACAAGTAAGGATCCTCGTCAGCAGAGAAGCTATGAAACTTTTATTATTTATAAATGATAAGACAAAATATAGAGATGTTTTTATTGCACTGTTGGAACTTAGAGGCAAACTTTAACTTTGAATAAGCAAAGTCGTGGAACATTTGTGAAAGTACAATATTATTATCTCAATAAATATTTGTCAATACTTACTAATGAGTAAATCCCAGTGATCATGGAAGCTCGTTGTATATCAATAATGAATGCATCTTGAACTAGTGGTCGTTTATACCAAGGAATTTTAAGAGATCTCAAGGATCTCGTAGACTTCAAGTTTGAAGTTGATCTTGTGACATAAGAGTAGACACTAGGTGTTCCAACACTACTTGATTTTTTAGCACACATTTTCCTAAAATGATACAATTCAGATATCTCCAATAACCATCACTCAGAAATGAACAAAAGATAAGTATTGACGAATAACCTAGAAGAAATACCTTATTCTTTTGTCTTAAAAAGAGTTATTAGTTCATGTACATTTATGTATTAAATATGAATTAACGTGAATAACAAAAAAACCAAAAGTTACATTTAAACCAAGTAACTGGAAATATCACCAAAACAAGGCGTGTCCTAACATATAAACAATTCGAACATATCGATTGATGATTCATTTACATCGACTTTCTAAATCGATAGTTTAGGGAGATCAAAATCCATTGAACATTAAAATTATTTGTGAATAAAATAAGGTCCTCAGTTTTAAATTATTATTGAATTATAGCCACTCAATTTGATTTGTTAGCATTTAATAAATACAAATTATTATGTCCCAAATGCTACTGAAAAATCTTATAATGTAATATATATAAATCGATATATATATATAATTGTTATTAAAACTGTTATTTTTATTAATTTAAAATCTTTGATTTTCTATTATAACTAGGCTGTTTTAAAAAATTGTATCATACAAATGAAATTTAAACTACATGTTATAATAAAAAAATATATAATATAATTCACACTCTGGTGATGACAACACTCCTTTCACACCATTTTAATTACAATGCATAGTCTATGATTAAATAACCTGCTTTATAAGGAACAGAGGGAGAAAATAATTCTTATATCTGCAGAAAGTAAAGTTAATAGAAACCGACAACTATTTACTTTTCAAATCTTTACGAAATATAATTTTATAATTTATCATTAGGTTGTAATCTCTTAGAAATTGTAACCAATAATTATTACATTTTAAATACATATATTGCTTATAAATGATTCATATAAAAAGTATATAATCAAATTCAACTTGGTGTGGAATGATATACATAGGTGGATCTACATGGGGAGGGAACATTCCAGTTGAAGCTCCCTTCCAAAATAGTAAAGAATAACTGTGTGAAAAAAATATTATTATCTCTAAAGTTCCTGTAATTACATTTTATAGGATTACATGAATCACTTATATACAATTTCATAAACATAGTTAGTGTCTTTCTTTTCCTTCCCAAGTAATAACCTTTTTATACATATAAAAAAAGTGCCATCAAAATTTCTAACAGGGGACATTTTGAAGGGTTCTCAATTTTCAAGTGGCATATTTTTAAGAGGTTTTGAATTTTGGAGGAAATCATATTTTATTAAGGTTAAAATTTTTAGGGAAATTACAATTATCATTAATTCTACTTGAAGTGTGCACACAGTCAGGTACTCTCCTCAGAAATCACAAAAAAAATTTGTTTGAGTTGAGAGAACAGCCTGATGGAAGAAGTAAGGGAGGAAGAAGAGGTGGCCAAAACCATGAAACTGAATTTCAGACACCATGTGAGTCCAAAATGATAATTCAATTTCAATCAAGCAAAACCACTTTTAAAATTACAATGCCATACTAAAAATTGTAATTTCACAATCAGTAATATGTACTTAATCTTTCAAGAACCACAAAATTGTACAAAGCCACAAATTTTATTTCCTTTGTTTTATTCAATTATATGCAATATAATCATGTTCTCAATCTTTTATTTAATTTAATCAAATATCAAATTTCAGTGATCCAACCTCATATAGTCCACATCAATTTTTACAATCACCAGCGCAACATAATTCAATTACAGATCAATGTTTAATATTTTTCTCACACCAAATTACCATGATCAAACATCCTGTGATTGGTTTTCTTTTTTTTTTTTTTTTTTTTTTTTTTTTTTTTTTTTTTTTTTTTTTTTTTTTTTTTTTTTTTCTCCTTTAGTACCTCTTAAACATTATTTCATATATATATTTTATTTTCTACCAGAATAACTACTGTCATTTAAATTAGATTAAAAAAAGAAAAAAAATACCCACTCAAATTAAATCCTGCAGGTCCAGTTTGTTATAAAACTTTATTTTGCTACTTTTAATAACAATTGCTGTACAAAGGTTTGGTAATTTTGCATAGCAATAGCTCTTGAAAACACTTTCTATAGGGCTAATGTTGAACTACTGTACACTCGCTAAGAAATTTTATTTGAGTTCTTATAACTATAATTAAGTTATTTCTTTTACTTCCGAAAGCCATGATTTTAATAATGCCATTCAATAAGGAATTTTCCTTACATTAATTCTAAGACTATTCTCTAAGTACCCATTACTTCCACTTTTAAGCTGAGAAAAGTATGATTTTCATTCGCTCATTATTTGTAAATATATAGTGACCATGATTTTCATATTTGTCAACCAAAATAAATGTATTGGCTTACGATATGCAAATCATAAATTTAGCAATTTTTAATTTATTAAACAAATGATTTGATATTATTTAATTTGTAATCAATTACTTTCCCTTGTAGAAGTTAGAATCACTTGATGCTTGAAATTTGAATAAATTAAAAAAAAAGTTAATACAATTTTCAAAAGCTGCAGAAGTAATTTGGTTGCTAATAATGGATGTAAAGTAAAAAAATGTATATATTTATATATATTTTTCCAAATCAATTATCCTCATTTTGTAACATAAAGCAATTAAATTTTGAAAATTTTCAAGTGGATCATGGTTATGTAAATGCAATTTCACATCTCCATTGATAGCAAGAAGTTTGAATTCTTTACTTATTGCTGAAATTTAAAAAAAAAAAACTACAATAGTTCTTACTGGTTGTTTTTTTTTTAAAGATAAAATGTATCTCTAGGTGCATTATTTGGTGTATTTCTAAATATTATTTAAAATGTTAATGACAAAATTAAAGTTGTTAATGTTTTGTTAGATTTTCTCATGTTTTCAGACTCTTGAGACCTTTCAGCTGTTCTTGTACGTTTATATAAAGACGGAAGATATTGTTCCTGTTGATCCTATCATTCATGTCCCTTTTACATTTAATGCCCTTTGGGAGTAGAAGTCCCTGCAGTGCTTCTTTCCCTTCCTCCTCCTCCCCCCCCCCATCTCTTTCTTAGCTAAATATACTTCTATATTTCCCACCCATTGATCTGAGGTAAGGATTGCATAATGTTTGGCTTTTTAAACATTTTAATAATTCAAGTCAATGATAAATTTGAAGTGAACATAAAAATAAACAAATAAGATAAAACAATCTGAAGAATTCATCTCAGATTAATTTAGTGAAGCTCAACATGTCTGGAACTAGAATTATTTCCAGAGGGACAAATTTAATTTTGCTACCCCTCCTTTCACCCAATATTTGTCAACAGTTTTATAAATTTATTTGAGGTGATGTATTTCTAAATACCTATTATTTTTTTTGGTTGAATTAAGGTCAAAAAGCAGTAATTAATATTTTTGATTTGACCAAAAATCAGATTATGGATTGTATGCATAGTTGTTTATCTAACATCACTTGTGTGTTCTGTCAAAAAAGAATTCTTTTTTTAGAATAGAATAGAATAGAAAAATAATTTTACTCTGGGACGAAGTCCCTTCAGAATAACAAAAAAGTACAGAAATTAAAATATTATATCTGGCCATATAAAAACAAACATAAAAGTTAAAGATAAAGATAAATCAGTAAACAAAAAAGAAAAAAATTCAAAGTACAGATTTTTAGCCAATTTTTTTATTAGAACTATTTATTGACAAATATTACAATCTGTCCCAATTAAGGACATTTATAATAGTGTTCAGAGAACACATAATCACTCCAAGTACCACAAATTTAAAAAAATTAAATACCAAAACAATAGAACTAAAACTAAATGTATAAAAACAAAAAACTTGACTAATCAAAATAACATTCCAGCCGATTTCATTGAAAAGCTAATTTGATGTTTCTTCTCTTATAAATTGGTGGGAAACACATTAAGATCAGTCCATTTGAAATAACCTAATTTCATTGCTCGAAATCTTTGATTTTTAAATTTTTTTTTTCAATTATTCCTTATTTATTTGGGAATTAAAAACCACATTTTAAGGCTTACAGGTTTTTTATGGGCGGCCATTTTGAATTTTTATTTCAACTGAAAACATGTTTTGAAAAAATGCCTGTAACTCTGGTAATTTTGTTGATATTAAACTAAATTAAGAACTGAAATAAAGTTGAGTATCTTTTTTACATTTCTGTCAATTCTATCAACATACACATCTATCAATGCATAATGTGAAAAGAAAGGAAATTGGTTTAAAACAATCTCTCAATATTAATAATTTTTAGAAAAATCACAAATACAGTAGTTAAAGTGACAGCTCACTGTTTAGGCACCAAGATATATCAGTTCATGTGATAGTAGCTGTCACTGCAGTGAAAACGTATATACTATATAAACGTATATTGATAGATATGTATATTGACAGAAATATAGAAAAGATACCATACTTTATTTCAGTTTTTATTTTGGTTTGATATCTAACAAATTACCAAAGTTAAAGGCATTTTCCAAAATATGTTTTCAGTCGAAAGTAAAATTCAAAATGGGCGCCGAGAAAAAACTGAGAACCTTAAAAAAAATTTTAAATGTGGTTTTTAACTTCCAAATAAATAAGGAATAATTGGTAAAAAATGTCGAGCAACTTGTTCTGGATTGATTTCAAATGGATTAACCTATTAAAATATTTATTGAGCATCTTAGTCCGTGGTACAGACCTCTTTTTATCGAATTATTAACATCCGCCTGAAACTTCGTAAATAGTTTCATCTCATCGTAACCTACAACTGTAGGTAACCTGTACTACGGACTATCTAGGGAGTACAGGAACCAAGAGTACTGTTTCTATTTAAAATAACGTTATTGTTTTATAGAATCGTCTCTGCAATTAAATTGGCAGAAAGTAGTTTTTTCAAGAACAATTGTGCATACCATCATTTGCTCCAAATATTATGAAGTCTTGAGGCCTAGGATGTGCTCCTTTTGCCTTTCCCTCTAGTTTAGAACCTTGAGTTCGTATGATAACCTTAAAAATATAAAATAATTTCGTACAGTACACACCTGATATTTTTCAGTTATTTTGATTAGTTGTGTCTAGTTTATATTTAAATATTTTCCAGCAGGTTGAAAAGTTTCAAGAGCCATAGGGTAGTTCATACAGATTGTATCGCTTGTTCAGATATACGGAGTGTGCCAGGTGGAAATGTCTGTAATTGAAGGAGAGATAATCTACCAAAAATACTGTTCAGCATCCTGCTCAATTTGTATCCGTGATATATTTTAAAGAGATTTCGAGGAGAAATACGTTTTCCC